AAGTCACAAAGGTCCCGTGAGCTTCTGTGCTGCTGGGTATATCCCAAATAACCCGTTGGCAGAGCCCTGTGGGTGTGCTGGGGGCACGCTGCTTGGGTGGCAGGAGTGGGATGTCTCCACCCCTGCACTGGTGTGGGAGGAGATGAGCGATGCTGGCAAAGGAGGACAGGCATCGTGTTGGGGGAGAAAGGCTGGAGCTGGGCTCCTGGTCCTTGCCTTCCTCTCTGCCCTCCAAGCCCTGAGCAAGGGCACTTCCTTGGCCCGGTGTTGCAGGGCTGGGAGGCACAACCCATCCCCTGCCTGCATTAGGAGGAGGGGGGTGTCTCAGGCCATGTTGCTGTGGTCTCTGCTCATCTATTATTTCATGCTGCACCTGCCCGAGGAGGATGTTAGGACAAAATATGCCTGTTCCCTTCCCAGCTGTGGGACTAGGTTTGCTCCTGGGTGCATCGTACTATCCCCTGTCCTGCTGGCCAAAGGCTCGGGATTTTTTTTTTTTTTTTTTTCTTTCTGGGGTTTTTTTTTTTTTTTTTCTTTTGGGTGGGGTGGAGAGGCACCTCTTTTGTGCCACCCATTCTCCTGTCTTGTGGGCACGTTGCTCCAGATGTCCCCTGTGGGCTCTGGGGTTGCAGCATCATCTGCCAAGATCGGGTTGTTTTCCCAGTGGCAATCGGAGCGTGCCAGGGGGCTGCAGGTGTGCCTGCTTTCAGGGGGCCAGGAAAGCCTTATCTCCAGTATGGGTGCACCAGTACTGGGGTGGGACTGGTACATGGGGACCTCACAGGGGCACCTGGGAAAGAGAGAGACCTTGTGGGTGTGACTCTCTGGCTTGGGAGGAAATGGGAGCCTCAGGACCGGGGTGCAGAACTGGGAGTAGGAGTGTGTCCGTCTGTCTCCATCGGACCCGTGGCATCTCTGTGCCCCCGCAGGGTCAGATCGGTGGCCCGTCAGGCCCAGAGTCTCCTGGCGAATGATGGTTTCCTATCGCTCTCCAGTAATTGCTGACACTGCTGCTGAGCCGGTGGTTTCGTGGCCGTTCCCATGCGGTCGGAGGGGAACGGGGGCCCTGCTGGGGTGTGCATTGAGTTGCGTGTGCTGCCACACGTGTGTTTCCTTGCGCTGCCCACCCTGCCTGAGGTTTTGGGGCCCTGCACGCCTTTGTGGGTGACTGTCCTGGGTCTGTTGTTTGCAAACATCCTCGTGGTGTTTCCCAGCTTCTTCTCGTGGGCAGGTCCAGCACGGAGCTGATGGTATTGCCAGTCACTTATGGGGGTGAAGGGGTCCAGGGAGATCCCAAACTTGGTCCACTCCTGCTCCCCTCTAGGCTGGGTAAAGCACAATCCCGTGCTTCGCCCAGGCCCCGCTGGTCTCTGCCTGCTGCCTTGGGCTGGGTGTCCCTGGGTGCTGGGTCCCTGTGCAGGCAGCTCGTCCCCGACCCGCGGTGGATCCCGGTGCAGAGCAGATGGCGCGGCTCAGCGCCGGTGCGCTCCTGCCAGAGCTAATGAGCAGCACATAGCGGCTGCCAAGGCCTGATTTAAAAGTTTCCCTAAGCCTGGGAAAGCCTGGAGCAGGAGGATTAGGGGGGACCCAGGGGGCTCTGGTGTTCAAGGCAGTGGGGTTTGCCCCGTGGGGGAGCAGGCTGGGCAGCTGGGAGCTGGGCACAGCCAGCACATCCACACGGAGGATCTGTATTGGGGTCGCTTCCTCAGAGGATGGATGTGGGGTGGAGGCATGTCCCTCCACTGAGCCATGTCCAGCACGCCTCCATGCACACCCCAGCTCTGTCCCCAGGCTGCCTGGCGCTGCGGGGGGTTGGGGACCCAGCAGCTAGGGAGCTCAGTCTTGCCCCTGGTGCTGGTCTAGCCATGCCGGCCATGGCACCCTCTGCCTTGGAGGTGTTTGGCTGGAGCAAAGGCAGCAATCGCGTGGTATGGGTGGCTCCACAGGCAGGCTGAGCCCGGTGCTTTCCCATGTTGTGCTTGCTCCTGCTAGGGGGTGGCTTGCTATATCTCTTAATTGCTGCATTTGCTGACCAGACCTGGCAGTCCCCAGGGAGCCTGATTCAATTTTCTCTGATTGCTGAGCTGCTTCCCTGCCGCGGTAATTAAATGCTTAACTTTGTCTTGATTTGGGTCCAAAGCAACCTGTGTGCAAACAGCCAGCCCTTGGCAGCTAACCCTCTCCTGGGATCCTGTGCTCAGGGAGGAATGGGGCTGGGGGCATCCCTTCCTGGGCAAGGGGGCAGATTCCCCCATGGGATCAAGCCACACTGAGCTGAGGCCTGGGGAGCCACTGTCTGCTGGTGAGGATGGGCAGCTTGCTGTGCTGGCCTCGAGATAGGGGAAAATCTGGAGCACTTTGCTCTGATCTTACCCTGGTGAGAGCACTCGGCTGCCTGGGGAGCTGCTTGCCCCGTACACCGCCACAGTGCCCCCCATGTGCCACACACAGTCTTGCCTGTTGGGTTTGTAATGCCCGCGGTGTCCTTGACCCATAGGATGTCCTAGGGGGGCACAGGATGATGTTAGAGCTGCTCTCCTCCTGGCTGTCCTGTGTTGCTGGGAGGGATCACAGGGCAGCAGCAAAGCAGGGAGGGCAGGTTTGGGGCAGAGGATAGTAAAGCATGGGGGGAGCAGAGGCCGGCAGATGGGCTACATGTGAGCCTGGACTGTCTGGCAGATGCTCCTGTAGCTCTGATGCTGGAGTAAGCGCAAGCAGGGTGAACGTGGGTGATGCAGGGAGCAGGGATGGGGATGGGGCGGTGGAGGGAGTGGGGATGGCAGCAGGGCAAACACAGGTGATGTGGAGATGGGAGTGGGAATGGGAGTGGGGCGAAGACAGGTGATGAGGGGATGGGAGTGGGGTGAATGCAGGTGATGTGGGGAGCGGGGTGAACACAGGTGATGCAGGGAGCGGGGATGGGGATGAATGCAGCCCGGCCCCTGCGGGGCTTCCCCCGCCCCGCCTGTCTTGGCAGGCCCGCGTCCACAGCAGCCAGGCTGCACGGCTGGTCCCGGTCTGCCAGCTCCAAACTCTGCCAGCCCACACCAGCAGAAATGCCTGTGGCCAGGTGGGGGGCAGTGCCCCAGCCCCTCACCTGGTGCCGGAGCCACCAGCTTCGCAGTGGGCAGCCTTGCCCCTCTGGAGATGGGGTGGACGAGAGCAAGTGGCCCCGAGCCTCCAGGGCCTGGCACAGAGAGGGGAAAATGCCGTGGAGCTCTTCCACCCGTCACTGCCCAGCTCTCTGGCTCGGCTCCCTGGGAACCCAGCCCTGCCTGGCTGGGCAGCCTCCTCGGCTCCAGCCTCAGGAGCGGAGAGGAACAGCTCCTTGCAGGGGGTCTGCAGGCAGCCACCCTCCCTCCCAGAGCAGTCTCTGAGGGACGGGAGCTCCCTGCTGTAGCCGGGGCAGGCTCTGCCCGTCTGCAGTTGCAAGGTTATAAAAGGCAGCAAAAGGCAGCTGCAGCTGGGGTGGTCGCCCGCACCCCCAATCTGGAGCGGCTGCCCTGCAGCCCCCTGCCAGCACTGAGAAATGGTGGTGAGTGGGTGTGTGCTCAGCTTCCCTGGGAAGCTGGGACAGCCCCTGTTTGAGGTGGATGATGCTGGGTGATGGGTCCGTGGGAGGCTGGATCCCCTCTGCCCCCATGCCTATCCTCTCCTGCCGGTCTGTGCCCAGTGGGATGGCCAGCCTGCCCCAGGGGTGGCTGTGTCTCAGCAGGGTAGTGCGGCCTGGGGGAAGCTTGGCATGTGCCTGGCTGTGGGTGCAGGCAGTTTGGTGTGTGTGGGTGTCGTGGCTCTCACCGTGGGCAGGAAGGCTATGGGAGTGTGCTGCCACAGCATTAACAAAGTGCTGGGGGCCAAAGGATGCTCTGGAGCCCCTTTGGGTTGCCATAGCGGTGGGCTGTGAGGGGAGAAACTGAGGCAGTCAGGTGAGGAGGCAGGGGAACATGAGGACATGAACCCAGCAGTCCATGTCAGCTGAACTGTGCCTTCCTGTGCAAGGAAACAGCCTCCCTTCGGTGCACAGGGGGAGCTGGGTGGTGTCTGCTGGTGGGGCAGCCCTGACATGGGGATATTGGCTGTGCCCAGTGTGGTGAGCCCCATCCCCTCCACTGGTTGAAGGCTTGAGATGCTGGGATGGGTAGATCTCTCCCCAGGGGGGCTGCTCCTCCTGGGGTGGAGGGTACCCTGAGCCAACCCTACGAGGGCTGCCTGTGGGAGCTGGCTGCCCTGCAGTGCCCATCCAGCGCTTGGCTCCCAGCCTTGCTCGGCTCCCCCCCCAGCCAAACGCTGGCATAGGGCAGTGGCGCTGAACAACTTGGCCTTTGTGCTTGCTGCTGGGCATGCCTGTGTGTGTGCTGAAGCTCCCTGCCCCTCAGGGTGCGGGACCCGCTATCCCCTTCCTCCCAGATGCTCAGTCGCCCTGGCAGCCCAGCCGTGGAGACGGTGCTTTCACAGCCTGCCAGCCCGGCAGGGAAGGGAAGGAAAGCGATGGAGAGGCTCCCAGCTGAGGTCCCCTTTGTGTCCCTGTGCGGCTGCAGGCTCTCTCTGGCACACACACCACTCGTGCTGCCGGGTTTGGATGCTGATGCTGGAGCAGGCAGGCTCCTGCCGCACCGCCCATCATTGCCCCAGCGAGAGCTGCCGGTTTGGGAAGAAGCGGTCTCCACCCCTGCCTGTGCCTCTGTCTCTGTGCATCCGTCTGCCTCCCAACCCTGTGTGTCGGGTGCCTGGGGCTGGGAAGCGGCCAGGTTTGCTTGGCAGGAGTGCTCAGCCGCGACCGTACAGCTCTGTCCTGGGCGCTCGGTCCCTTGTCACCGTCCCTTTGCAGTGAGCTGAGCGTGGGGGAGCCGGAGGTGGTGGCCGGGCTCATGCTGCCACTGTGGTCCTGCCGGCTCTCTCCTCCCTGGGTGTGTTGCCTGTGCTGAGGCTGGTTTATTGGCATCAGTGGGAGGCAGATGGGGCTGGCGCTGACCATCTTGCTGGTCCCAGGACAGCCTGTGTCCTCCCCCAGCCAGCTTCGAGCAGCAGAAGCCGTCACCTGTGCCAGCATGGGGATGGCCGAGCGCAGGCTGCCTGGTGGAGCTGGGGCTCTGGTGCGCTCCTGTCTGAGCTGGGGGGGTGGCAAGGCAGCACCCCACTGGTTAGGTGCTGGTTTATTTTGGTTGCTGCTTAGCAGATAAGTCAGATAAGTCCCTAATTGCCAAATAACCGTAGAAGCCTGTGCCATGGGCTCCCAGCGGATCAGCTGGGCTCTCTGTGGGCGCCCCAGCCCTTTAGGGCAGGGCACCCTGGCGTGTTTGACTCTGCAATGAGTCCTGGTGCTGGGCACAAGCTGTCCTTCTGGCTGGTGGCCCATGACCAGGCGCAGAGCATGTTGGCTGGCTGTGTCCAGACGCAGGTGAGGGAGCAGCTCCATCGTCCTGCAGGTTGGGCCCTGACAGCATCACACCCAGTTCTTGCAGACCCATGGACAGACAGGACGTGGCCAGCATCTTTTTTGGTAGAGGTTGGGACAAGGAGTGCCAGAATGCACCCAGATGGTGACTTTAGGACCACCAAAGTTGCTGATCTCTGTTGCAGAGCAGGGAAACTGAGGCAGAGCATGACAAGCGCTGACAGCTCTCCCAGCATCACCTGGTGGGGTTGAGGACAGGGCCAGGGAGAGGGCCTGTGCTGGCTCTGCAGTTGCTTATGTCATGTTTGGAGGAGGTATTGTGGTGCCTAGGCATGACTTGAACTACATGTGAATGCCTACCTGGCCTGACCAGGGTCTCACGTTGCCCTGTGCCTGGTATGGTGATGTTCCTCCTGGGAAGGCAGGAATAGGACCCCCCAGCGTTGGAGAGCTGGGACAGTTGGACAGTGGGGAGCAGGAGAAGCAGCTGCACTGGCCTGGAGAAACCCTCTGCAAAGTCTCTTGGTGGCCACATAAATCTCCTGTGATGCTGGGTGGCATCTCTGCACTGTCCCATGTGGGACTGTGGCTGCTGGTGGCTGCTGGCGCTCATCCCTGCTGTCCTGCTCTGCTTGTCCTGCTCTTGTAGCGGGAGTCCATAGTATTTGCACACCAGCTGGCAGCAGCTCCCAAGGACATCCCCGGGTGATGCTTTGCCGATTGCCTGGAGAGCAGGACCCTCCCAGGGGGTTCCCGCATCTCCAGTCACCCTGGGGAGATGGGATGGCATGGGGGAGCACGTTGAGGGCTGGCACCTGGGTCCCCTCGAGCCCCCGCAGGTACCCCGGCTGTGAGAGCCAGGGCGAGTGATGGGGCCCCTCAGGTGCTTGGAGCTGGCTGGGCAGTGAGGTTTGGCAAGAGGGAGTGGGGGAGACATCGGTGTTGGCATGTGGACGGCTGGAACAGCCCAGCATGGCCAGGCTCAAGGTGGGTCCCCAAATGCCCTATGGAAAATTCATGTGCGCGTATCCCTCCAACACTGCTGCTCATCCTCTTTTCCAAACCCAGGTGCACATATTTAATCACCTGGGGGAAGTGGGGGGAAAAAAAGAAAGAAATCTTTTGCTGAAAACCCTGTTCTTATTTTTCTTGAGAGGAAAAAAATTTTCCAGAAATACCCCGGTTCCAGTTTGTTCCTCTGCCCGTTCCCTGGGGACACTGTCGCTGTGCATGTCTGGGGTGGGGAGGGGGGAAAGTGCATCATGTTGGTCAAAAAGTAATTAAAGCTGGGGTTAATTTTCCTGGAGGAGGGTGGGACCCTGGGAAGGCGACGGGAGCGAGTCTAGAGCTGAGCACATCAGAAGCTGCTTTCTATTGTGGCTGCTGAGCTAAATATACCCACGGATGCACATAGCTGTTCCCACATGTCTGCTGCGCAGGCTCCCGGCGGGGGGAGCAGGGTGCTTGCACTGCCTCCTGGGGACACCCTGTCCCCCCAGACACAGTGGGTTTTGGCCCTCCCGGGCTTTGCTTGCCACCAGCCAGGCTGGCGAGGAGCGGTGGCTTGTGCAGAGCCCCAATCTGCAAAGCGTCTGCTGCGGTCGCTGCGCCGGCTTGCCAGCGATGCGGCTTTGGAGAAATTAATAGCTGTGTTTATGAAGCACCCAGGGAAGGGAGATGTGCAGTCATTAGCTCTAATGAGAGCTCTTTGCCATGGCGCTTGGCTCCGCACTCCCTCTTTCTCCATGAGTCTCCCGGGACTAGCCAGCTTCCCACAGCCGGCATATCCACCAAAAGCCAGAGCTGCTGCAGCCCTAACACGCGCCAGTGCCTGTGCCAAAGCAGAACCGTGCCTGTGCGGGTCCGGCTGTTGTGTACCCAGATTTCTCGGGAAGGGGTTGAGTGCGGTGGGTGAGGATGTGGCGGGTCGGTCCATGCGTGCCGCTAGAGCCAGGAGCCCAGCACAGCCTCGCCTGTCCCCTTCCCATGTGCCAAGTCCATGGCTGGGGACAGCCATCAGGCTGGGTGGTGGTTTGGTTTAGACGGCTGTTTTGGCACTGGGCCTGTCTCGTCATGTTTTTGCGTTTTGCATTTCAAGCCTTTGTAACTGCAGTTTGATTTTGCTGCCTTTCAAGCGAACGTGGCTGGCTGCAGCGCATCCCGGCTGCCCGCACATACCCTGGCAGTCCCTGTCAGGGCTGCTTCGATGTATTGATCAATGTCTACGTGCAGCCCAGAGCTTGCTGCCTGGCTGAGGGCATCGCGGTGAATGAGCCAGCATAGGCGTGGGGAGGCTGGCTGGCCCCGTATGGGCCATGCTGGGCCGTATTCAGCTGTTGGTGCAAGGGCAGTTTTAAGTGCAAGCTGTGTGTTGCTACCGGATCTGCCTGTGCCGTGGTACCCAGCCCTGCCTGTCACCTTGGCTGCGGAGGTGGCTGGTGGCATCACTGGGATGCACCAACCTCATTTCTCAGCCACAAACGGATCAAGGTTGTCACTGGGTGTGGGAGTTGAAGCATCCCCTGCACTGTTTGCTCCACACTGCAGGCAGAGGTGCTGCCAGTCCCCTGCCCGCAGCAGCCACAGTTCCAGCATGGGCCACGCTCGCATCCTCAGGACCAGGCTTGTGTCCCCCAAGGCCAGGCTGAGCCCTGAGGCTGCCCTCAGCCCACTTCTCTTCCTGCAGGATCCGTCCCCAACTGTCCAAAGAAAAAATAGAGGGATGTCACATCTGCACCTCAGTGACGCCCGGCGAGCCCCAGGTGCTGCTGGGGAAGGACAAGGCCTTCACCTATGACTTTGTCTTTGACCTGGATACATGGCAGGAGCAGATC